GTCACACAAAGAGGAACATGGTATGTACTCACTCATATATGGATTTTAGAGCTAGAGCAAAGGATCACCAGCCTATAATTCACACCACCAGAGGAAGTAGGATACAAGATGTATTCTAAGAGATTCATATAAAGGCCCTCACAGAAGGGGGAAGGGACAAGTCCCCCAGAGCACAGGGGAAGTAGGGGGGCAGTAAATGGAGAGAGAAGTAGGAGAAAGAGAAGGGGAGGAGAGTAAGGCATGTGTGACCAGGAAGATTGAGTCAGGGTAGGAATAGAAGACAGGAGAGAGAGAGAGAGAGAGAGAGAGAGAGAGAGAGAGAGAGAGAGAGAGAGAGAGAGAGAGAGAGGAGAACATAAAAGAGGGAACCATTATTGGTTTGAAGAGAAAACTGAACCTAAAGAAAGGTCTAGAGACCTACAAGACTGCTGCCAACTAACAATTTGAGCAAATGTGGAAAGGCTACCATAAATACCCTTCCCAGATAGTGAGATCAACAATTAACTCATCCACCATCATGGAGCCCTCATCTAATACCTGTTGAAACAGAAGTAAACACCCATACCTAAACACTGAGTCTAACTAGAATCCAGATGCACAGAGAGAGGACAAGACCAGGTTGCATAAACACATAGAGACAGCTGATCTGTAACAAGGAGGAGCTAATGGGCCCCCAGACTGATAGCTGGGAATCCAGCATGGGACTGACTCAGGCCCCACTGAATATGGGTCTCAGCCAGAAGGACTTAGCAGCCTAAGGGACCTCAGACATTGGAACCAGGATGTATTCTTGGTGCACAAAAGGACCTTGCAGACACATCCCCCATGGAGGGATACTGCCTTAACCTAGAAACAGGAGAGAAGTTATAATCCCTACTTCAAATGACAGATTTACATGAGCCCACCTAGATGGCATTGCCCTACATGTAGAATTGGGGTGGGGGGATGGAAGGTGAGGGGCAGTGAGGGTAAGAGGAAGGGAAGGAGGGAGGGAGGGAGAGAGGGAGAGAGAGGGAACTGGGATCGACATGTAAAATAAGAACAAAAACAAAAAAATCTTCATATAGAAAATGATGCTGTAGAAATGTGTAGGGCCCTGCATGGACCTCCGAGGCATGCTGAGCAAGCCTGAAGCTGTTGGAATGAACTCCTCGCCCCAAAACTGTTATTGGTACTCTTCCCGTTTTGATAACACACACCTCATGATAACACACCTCGTAGGGGAGGGGCTAAGACTAAAAGTCCTTTTATTTTCCACTGTGCTATAAGTCAGTATTTAAGCCCCTTCCATCCTCTCACCAAACGGCATTCGGCGTTCCGACATTGCCATTGAATGAATGACCTACTGATTCGTGGAACAGATCATAGCGCAGGCGCTACAGAAATCAAGTGAGATACAGGCAGTTCTGGATGCACAAAAGATAGAAACCATATAGCATCAGCAGACCTGCTTTGTAAGGAAGGCTAAAGTTAGTTCTTTGAACTGAAAGAGATGTTAATGAGTTAGAAGAAAACACAGGTTTAAAATTCATTGGTAAGAATAACTACAAAACAAGATTTGTAGTGTCCCAGCATTGTAAAAGCATCCATAAGCTTCGTATGACAACTACAGTAGAAAACAATTGAAACAAAGGGTAAATTAGTTTGGTGACATTCAAAGACAACCAGGACATCAGAAATTGAGCACACCTGGCAAATGGAGGGTGAGGCCAGAATCTCCCTGGTACATGTCCTTCCTTTCTTCACAATTCCATCTGGTTTTAAAGTTTTATTTCTTATTGTATATTGTTATCATTCAACATAGCTTGTCAAAATCAAAAGATATTTCTGTATGCATCATATGACACATAAAGCAAAAATCTGTTATTGACAAACTGAAAACCCTAGCATGCAATCAAAAGCAAAGCAATTCATGTGCTACTTCATAACTATAATTTTGCTACTGCTATTAATTATAATGTAAATATACAATACATCTTGATAAGCAGGATATATGATATGTGACCCATGTGGGGGTCATGATCCATAGGCAAGTTATCTGATATGTGACCACTACAATAGATCAAATGGTCATAACATCTGAAAAGATGTCACTAAATGACAATAGAACACACCTCTTCAATAACACATTGGCCGTTATGTGTCACTGCTAGTGTTTTAGCTCTAGGTGGCACCATGGCTCCAATTTTGCCACAAGTTAGTTGGCACTATGTAGGTATTTCAGAATTAAATAGGGACCGAAAATCCAAGGTAATCACAGATTTACAGTTAGTATGTTGTTCACCATGAACCAGGAGATTGATTACAGAACATTTGGGTCCCTCTCTCTGAAGCCAGAGCAGATCCCAGCGATTCTTCCATGTCAGTAGCCTGAGATCAGTCACCATGGAATTTGTCAATGTATGGATCAATTTGGATGAACTAGCTAGACACCCCTGTGCCACAACACTGCATGTAGAGTATAAAGCTCCAAGTTAGGCAAATTCCAATCCTTCAGTGCAGGAGAAACTTTCAGATTTTAAATTATGAGCTTTAATCCATTTAGAGTTGATTTTGTGCAGGTTAAGAGATACAGATCTATGTTGGAGCATCTATAACAAATAATGCTGACCAAATTGAGTAGCTACATGTAGAAGACATGTAGAAGGATGAAAGCAGATCCCTGTCTCTCACTGGTTACAAAACTCAACTCCAACAGATGAAGGGTATTGACATAAGATCTAATACCCTGAGTCAGATAAGGGAGAAAATAAGGGATATTCTTCAGCTTAAAGGTACAAGAAAGTACTTTGTGAATTGGACTCTGATAGTCCAGATAGCAAAACCAACAACTGACAAATGGGACCCCAGGAAAATAAAAGACAGTGTACAACAAATAACATCAGTGTTTACATGAAAAGGTAGCCTGCAAAATAGGAAAAATCTTTACCAGGTATACATCTGACAGAACATTGGTATCCAAAATATATAAAGAACAAAAACAAACAAAAATCAAGAAAGCAACTTAAATAATGGGGCATGGACCTAAAAAGTGAAGTCTCAAAAGATGAAATACAAGTTGCTGGGGAACATTTTTATAGATGTTCAACATTTTATCCACTACAGACATGCAAATTAAAACTCCTTTGAGAATTCATCTTACCCCAGTCTGAATGGTCAAGATCAAAACACAAATGACTACAGTGCTACAATGAGTTCATCTAGTTCTGGGCTTTTTATTTGTTCATTTATTTGTTTTGTTTTTCTGAGGGGAGACTTTTAATTATTACTCCAATCCATTGCTTATTATGGGTGTATTTAAAAGCTTATCAATTTCTTATCATGGGAAGATTCTAAGTTTTCAAAGTATTGTGTTTTTTTCTGATTTTCATTTGATTTTGTTGTAACAACCCCCTTTTTATGTCATTTTAATGAGTTGAATCATTTTTCTTTTTGTTAGTTTGACTACAAGTTTTGTCAGCCTTATTATTACTAAATTTATTTTGGAGTTTATGATATAATTACAACACTATTCCCTTCCCTCCCCCTCCAAGCCCACTTATATACCTGTCCCTGTCCTTTAAGTTCATGGCCTGTTCTTTCATTAATTATTATTGCATACATATGTGTATATATGTGTATAATATGTTCTTTTTATATAACGTTTCTTGCACATGTATTTTCAATTTTTAAAGAACTGACTCTTGATTGATTTTTAGGTATTGTTCTTTAAGTTTCTCATTAATTTTATGCCCCATATCTTGAGGCCCTCGATTCCATAAAGTAAAATCTAAAGGATATAAAAGGCCACTTAAGTCCTGAGATTTAAAATCCTTATAAATCTTTAAGTGGATATTCCAAATTAAGAAATAAGCCAAGAAATTTCAGGGGTAAACAATACCACAGATCAACGGGATCAAACAGAAATCTAAAAACAATCTAACCGCATACAAGTAAAGCATTGTCCCCAACAGCACATATAAACTTAATCATATTAAGTGCTGCAAAAACAGTTTAAAAAATACAAAAATGTTGCCAAGTGGTGGTTCTCCAAGCCTTTAATCCCAGCACTCAGGAGGCAGAGGTAGGTGGATCTCTATGAATTTGAGGCTTAAGGCAAGTAATTGAGGTATTAAAGGTAGGGAAGGGCAGTTAAAGGCTCCGGGGAGAAGAGTGCCTAAACTTTTGAGGTGAATGCTGGCACTATAGGCTGCAGAAGTGTCATGGAAGGAGGGTACAGCAAAAGGGTAACAGCTGTGGGCAATTATGACCAGTCTTTGTCTGCCCTACTCAGCAGTTTTCACTCCACACTTACTGTCAGTTCAGTCTTTACTTGCCTTAATGAAACGGCCACTGTCTCTTCTGAGACTTCATGCAGAGGCTGCCACGGTTCCCTACTTTGTGCAGTGTTCTGTTGCCTTACTTAAGTCTTCTCAAGACATGCATTAAGATTCTCAGGAAACATGAGGACAATCTGTAGTTCAAAAGCCAGGAGGGAGGATCTGGCAGTATTTACCAAAACCCAGGTAGAGCTTCCAAACATACTAGGCATATTTTCAGTTCCTCTTCCCTCATGAGGAGTTGGACTGAGTGAAAAGCATACAGCTGTGTTCTGCTGTGGCTAAAAGTGGAGGCTGTTTGACCAGTGCCAAGAGGCTATTCAGTTAAGATAGATAAACCACCCCACCAACTAGAATAAAGGCCTCTTTTCAGGGCTGTTGTGTAATGTGTGTGTGTGTGTGTGTGTGTGTGTGTGTGTGTGTGTGTGTGTGTGTGTTAAATATGATGAGACACAGAAAAGAAAAAGATAAAGTACAGGATCTCAGGGTTTTCAAGATTTATTACATGTTATTGTGCATATTCACAGATTCAGTCACAATAATAGGAATGAAGTCAAAGTTGCTATACTAATGACAGCCCCCCTCCCCCCCCCAGAGAGGCTCTGATATCTAAGGTAGGGATCGAGCTCCTTGGGGTGGATGCTGGGCCATAAAAGTCCTGTTTCTCAGCCTGTTATATGCATGAATAAGGTCAAGGCCATATGGATGCATGGATGAGTGTGTGAGCCAGGGATCTGAAGGAAGTGTGGCGGATGGCTCTCTTCCCTGATGTGGGATGTTTGGAGAGTCTTTGGGACACTGGGGTGTTTGCTTGAGTTTTGGCATCACTGTACTTCCTAGTTCTGCCTCTGTTTCTCTGTAGTGGGCAAGCTGTCTCTCTTCACAGGTTGGGTTGGCTGAGTCTCTTGCACTTGGCCAGTGCCTGAGATGCCTTGCTCTATCTGCTTCCCCTGCTGTGTCAAGTGCCCAGCTGGTTCATTCTCCTGTTCCAGTTGCTCATCTTTCTTCACTGGGTCTTGATCCAGTCGCTGGTCCAAGAGCTCCTTCTCCTGTTCTAGGTGTGAGTCGTCCGGATGCTGCTCCCTCGAGGCTTTCTTTTGCTTAAGTGACTGACCTAGACTCTGTGTTCCCTGATAACCTTCATGTTCTGTCTCTTGCTGCTGCTGCTGCTGCTTTCCCAGATGCAGTTCTGGCTCCTGCAGTTTCTGCTTCTGTTTCTGGTCCTGTCCCAAGTGCACTTCAGGCTCCTGTGGCTCCCGACCCTGCTGCTTTCCCAGGTGCAGTTCAGGCTCCTGTGACTCCTGACCCTGATTCTTTCCCAGATGCACTTCAGGCTCCTGTGGCTCCCGACCCTGCTGCTTTCCCAGGTGCAGTTCTGGTTCAGAATGCTTATGGTTCTGATGCTGTCTCAGATGCAGCTCCTGTGACTCCTGTTGCTGCTGCTTCTGTCCCAGCTGCAGCTCCTGCTTCTGTGGCTCCTGCTGCTTCTGTCCTGGAATCAGTTCGTGCTCCTCAGGAATTTTCTGCTGCTGCTTCTCCTTCTGGTTCTGCCTCAGACTCAGCTGCTGTGGTTCCAGTGTGTCCTGCTGCTGCTGCTGCTGCTGCTGCTGCTGCTCTCCTAGGCACAATCCCTGTCTCTGTGGCTCTTGATGCTGGTGCTGGCCCATGTGCAGCTCTTGCTCGTGTGGCTCTTGCTGACATTTTTCTAGGTGCAGCCCCTGAGGCTCCTGTGATGGCCGCTGCTTCTTCAGATGCAGTTCCTGCTCCTGCAGCTCCTGCTGTGACTTTTTCCCAGACAGTTGCTTCTCTTGTGGTTCCTGTTGCTGCTGTTGTTCACACTCTTGCTCAGGCAGCCCCTTCAAAGGGGTTGTGCCCTTCTCCTCTTCTTGTGTGGGGCCCTTTTCTTGGGTCTCAGAGAACACCTTCTGCCATTGCACAGGTTGTGAAGTTGCCTGCTTCGTTTGTTCCTGCTGGGTAAGAGCTGGAGGACACACAGTCTTGATGGATTCCTGAACCACAGCTGGGGCAGTTACTGGCAACTTGTGTTGCTGGGACATCTCGGAAGCTTGCCTAGACCAAATCAAAAGCAAAACAACAAAAAACAGAAGGATCAGAGGTTGGAGAGAAGGCAATAGAAATAGATGAACCACTGAATATATAGGTTATACATAGTAGCCCTTTTTGTGGCATTCTTACTCCTAAATAGGGCATTTTTTAAATTTCTATGAGCTGTGATTCCAGCAAGCAGAAGAGAGTGGAGGGTGGGAATGATGAGGGCAGAGAAAAGCTCTCCTATGAGCTGAGCACAGGGGCATTTCTCCAAAGAGATTCTACAAGAATGGACTGGCTGTTAATTAACTTGCTTTTGTCTAGTCTTTCCCTGGGTCCTGGGAAGATGAATTCTGAGATTATGTCACAGTGTGAAGAAAGCCTTTGCAAAAGAAAGATCTCACAGAGGACTCCAGAAATTGGAAAGCTGGGCATCTGTGTTGGAGGGGAACTGGGAGGCCATTGCAAAAAGCATTGGACTGGAGACATTTAGCATATCCAAGGCCTGTCTTCTACCAAAACACTGGGTTTCTAGGCAACTCACTTAGTCTCTCTGGGCTTCAGATTTTTTCTCTGAAAAATTATCAGACTGGCCTGTTCTGCCTGAGAGCTCATTTCCTACTTGATCTGAGAGTGAGTTGTAGCCCCAGGGCCAAGGGTGAGGAATGAGGGGTGGCTGGAGTTAGTGAGAACTGGGGCTTGTTGTGACATGTCTTATACTTCTAATAGGATTTCCATGTCCCTGTTCTGCTTGGTTTTCTCCACACAGAAATTACTATTGCATGTTTCCCTCTGCACATTAACCTGTCCCTTGAAGGATAAGTAGTCTAGCAGAATCTAGCACCATAGCAATATCCACCCCCAGCTGGAGTAGGCGCCCCTAGCCATGTTCTTGCCTATTAGAAGCCTACAGCCACAACTAAGGTCCCAGCAGCTGACACTCTGTCTAACACTTACCAGGCTCACAGAGGAGAGATGGCAGAGGGTTCCAGTGAAGTGCTGAGCTGAGCAGGCTCCAGGTCCCTTTATATTCTGGCCTAGTCCCTTCTCAGGTTGGAGGTGGTAGACTGGTTTCACCACTCCAGTTGGTCAGCTTCATCCAGCTCCTTTCTGACTCACCTGATATCTTAGGCAGAACCCCCCTAGGGCTCTCTTTTCCAGCTCCTGTCTGACCGTGGGAGTGTGAGGGCTCAACCAGGTTGAGATCATCTGACCTGGGCACAGAAGAGGAGAATGGGGTGAAAAAGGTATCCTACTTTATAGCCTCAGTCAAACTTACCATTCAGTCTCAATGGGTTTGGCCTGATTTTCAGGTTGGAAGATGTATTTCCAAGGGCATAGAATGAGAAGCTTTGTGTTTTGGGGGTAGTCAAGCCAAAATCTATGGTATAAGGAATCATTTCTGAAGGAACGGGCATGTGGTGGGCATTCTACTGGGCTGGGAGACCATCTGTGTTCAGCACATATAATCCCCTCTGTGAGGACATGTGCCATGTCTTGCTGGAAGGTCAAGTAGATGGAAGTAGGTACTTACACTGCATCTCCCTCTGTGTGCTAGGGACTTCCCTTCTCCCATATCACAATTAAAAGTGTATTTACAGAAGTGCCTGAGGATGCCACACTCCTAGAAGCTTCTGCTTAAATCCAGGCAAGGAAATGGGAATTAGCATAAACTGGATATGGTGTATGCATTGCATTTCATGATGATAACCAACGCTTTCTATAATTATTTTTGGAAGTGCACACCCTACAAACTCAAAATCAAATTGCCTATTTCCATCTCAGATCATCTTTTTTCTTTTCATTTTTTTTTGTGGTGGGGGGGTGGAGGAATGTAATGGTTTCTGGAAAGGATTTCTCAGTGTAGCCTTGCTTGTCCTGTAGACCAGGCCAGTCTTGAACTCAAAAATCCACCTCTGATAGGTATGCTACAGTTTCACTTCAGGTCTTCAGTCCTAAGAACATCCAAAGTGCTTTACCTCAGGGCTGAGCACTTGCTCTCCCTCTGCCAACAGGCTCCGTTCCAGGACTCTGACATATATTCAAGCTTTGCTGGAAATGTTGGCGTCTGACTAGCATTCTCCTCTGACCACCACAGCTACTGGATTTTCTTCTGCTTTAATAACTTAATAAAAATGTAGCTACCTTATTTACATTTATTTAATTTTTATTATTATCTGTCTTTATATGCCACACACAGGAAAATGTGTTAACATTAAAAGAAGAAATAGTAAAATAATGTAAAGATGAAACTGCATTTCTGTTTAATTTTGAGAGGTGCCCCAGTTCCCCGTAGCTGTCCTGAATAGCATCTAATCTTAGTCCTAAGCAGATCTGTTTACAGTACTAAATTCCCCATCTTCCTGGGGCTCTGTCTTTAAACAGGTAAAGGACTTATACGATCCTTCTGTCCTCTAGAACACATTCGTCCAGACCGTCTCTATTCCTAGGGCCATGCAGGATCTCTCACTGCTCCCTTGTAGAGCCTGAACTATACTATTTTCTACAGGAGGGAGAGCATACCCCAACCCATCAGAACTAACCAAGCATCCTCACATGGGCACTGGTGCACTTATGCTCCACATCTGACCTCACATGGGAGGAATCTGTCTCTCCTCAGCCCATGACTGTGCCAAGGCAGAAGACTGTTCAGGAAGTCACACTGGTCTTATGGGTTCCCAGAGACTCAGTATCTGCCAGATCTGGCTCCCACCCTCTGATTCAGAACTTAATAACCTTGAAAAGACAGTATGTGTGCATGAGTGTTTGACCACTGGACAAAGTTATGGTGTGGGAAGGAGGGCAGAGGACACAGCCTAGAAGCATGTGTGTGTTTGCAAGAGGGGTTGAGGACACCCCAGACTTCTAATGCATAGAGTCCCATATTCTGCCCCCGGATTGCTTTGTTTAGGGATAGGGAATGCATGTGTATAAGGCAAATCCTCTCAGCACACTATGTGTGACTGGCGTTATAAGTCTCAGATCCTTGTGATAAATGCAAGAAACTGTCTAGCCCTTGGCCAGTATAATGAATGTGAGCTTTTCCAAGACACATGGAGAGGCCTTGACCCAGATCTGCCTCAGCCCTTTTAGACCTCTGCCAATTCTCTTCTACAGACAGAAAAATGCCTGATTTATCTCTCCTCCAGGGAAGCCCGTTTTAATTGTTGGTTATTTGTTGGGGAGTAGGAGGGGAGTCAAAAGGATTAATCTTGGAAATCCATTGCCCTGGGGGACAGTGGAGATGTTGAGAATAGCTCTTCATGAGTTGCTAGTCCTGGGAAGATGGTGGCAAGATCCTAGGGAGATGGTTTGGGACAAAAGATCTCATGTTCCCATTTTGCATGGCCACGAAGCATCTGTCTATTGTCTAGTGTGAAGAATTTCTGAGGATGCTGACCTCCTATCCTCTGGTCCTCCAGGTAACTGTTTCATGTATCATATCTCCATCTGAAAACTGTCCTGCCTGCCTCTTTATATATCTGGAATCTTCTTATCTACCTCTACTGCCTGCTGAATCTGATCATTTTCATTTGTGCCCTTCTTATCCCCAGGAAAGAATGAGTCTGGGGGGAAAGGTGAGACCAGGAGTTGATACAAGGAGGAATATTTCTTTCTGGACTTTTGGGTGTAGCTGTATGAACTGACCTGCTTTTCTCTGTATCACTTCATCTAGCTTCCCCAAATTGGCCTGGTGAATTGCTCATTCTCACTTTTGACCTCTAGTATTGGCCCTTTCTTTTGAATCAAGTTTGAATCCAGTTGCTATGGAAGGACATTCCCAGTTCTTTTATGGCAGCAACAAGAACAAAGGCATGGCTGGTGCTTTGGTGGTGGGAGAAAAAGAGATTTGGTGGAGTAAGAGACTGGAGCTTTGAACTGAAGGGAAAGTGGGGCGAAGCTTTGGCTAGAGACTGTGGATGAGCTTAAAAGAGGAAAGAAGAAGGTGGGGGATGAGTATGACCATGACATATGAAATTGTCAAAGGATAAATTAATTTTTAAAAACTTGCCTTGGGGTAGTTTAGAGCATCTCCTTTATTGGGGTCTCTTTCCTTCTGGACAGATATGGACCAAAGTCCTAAAAGAAGATGTGAGAGCAGTTCAGTGTCTACAGGGAGTCTGTGATAGGACTGGAATACAGACCACCCTGGTTGTGGTCTGAGGCCATCTCTTCCCATCAGGCTTCTTGACAGGGTTTGAACACAGCATGACAGGTTTCACTATGTGCCTTCAGAGACATCTTTCAAGTTAATAATTTCTCAATAGTATGATAAATTCTGGATTTTCTGGAGAAAGTACTAGTTTGTTTGGCCCTTATTCAGCCAATGCACCATTGTGATGTTGGGTTCTGGGATGACTCTTGTTGGTACTTAGGATAGAGAATTGCATTTCTTTATGATTCTGTGCTCTATCTTAAGCCAGTCCCATCAGGAGAAAACCTGGGCTGGTGCCCCACTCTTTGTGTTGTAAAAGGAGGATCCAAGCGCTTCTTTAAGTTCCTGTGAAGATTTGGTGAAATGGTGTGTGTTCTTAACACATGCTTGGTGCTCAGAATACTGACCTTTTTCTGGTGGTTAGTCATTACACACATGTAGGTTAATATTCATACAGTGTGTTACTTACCCAAGGAGAGAATTTTAAGAAAACAGGATTTTTAAAGATCATCAGGGTAGATTTTCTCATTTTTTTTCCTCTTGAAAATTATGAGACTTTGGTCAGGAGTAATGTAGCATGCCTTTTTCATAATCCAATCAATTCATATGTAGAGGCAAGAGGTTCAAAATTTCTAGGACAAGGCTCAGAATACATAATAAGTTTCATGGTGGTCTCACAAATAATGAAAAACCAAACAGCAACAATGAAATATCCAAAGGTTCCAAAGTGGCATACTGTGTCAGAGAAACCAAGTCACCTGCCCTTTCATTTTTTGATTGGTCTAATATGCCTGCTGCTGTGTCTGAAATGGTGATTGGCACATCATAGAATACCATGCCATCTTTTTTCTTTAAACGAA